CCTATAAGCTAAGAGGAAGACTTATTTGAGCATTGCTAATTAAGGGTGTCCAGACTCCAGGGCCTACCACAGAGAAAGCCAGAGGAACTGATCCTGTCCCACACCAAGAGATGGCACAGGAGACAAAGTGTCATATGCCCACCTGTGCTCAACCCACATGCACAAAGCCTGGGCTAGCAACTATTGTGCCAGGCCACGCAATGGAGCTCTGGTGCCCACAGGAGAGGCTGAAAGCCTCTGAGCAGGATGAGGGCATTTGCAGGCAGAAAGAGGAGCGTCTGGCTGCTGCAGCTGAGCCAGCTGCCAAAAGGGGGTCCACCGCCTAGCCCACCACCCTCCTCTCACAGCGGCCAACCAGGTGCCCCTAGTAGGAAGCCTTGAAGGCAGCCGGACTCCCAACAGGGCAGAAGCAGCTCTCCCTGCCACAGGGATCCAGGAGCATCACTGCCTCCTACTGGGGGGGGGGGGAGGGACATAGCCGTCGTGGCTAGTAGCCATTATGACGAGTAGCAATTATGACTAGTAGGCAATGAAAGACAAATTCAGGTGCGTGTTGGGCTCATTCTCCTCGGCCTGACCCAGCAACCAGGGTCTTCCTCAGAGGAAGGCTGAGCCGCAAGACGCAGACAGGGGAGAGGGGGGGGAAACACCCCCTACTGGCTCCCTCTCCCCCCTTCTGAGGAGTGGGGAGGCGGAAACAAAGAGAAGAACCCGAGGGGCCGTTTTGCTGCGGGGAAAACGGGCTCCTGTGCATGCACTGCCTGCCTGCCTGGGGTGGGGAGGGGGAGGCAGAGCGGCTGCCGCCGCCGCCCCCCGCCCGGCTCTGGGCGCCCCCTCCTCTCCCTCTCCCCCGCCCTTCGCAGCTGGAGGTCCGTGGTTGGGGGTCTCCGGCAGGGCGCCCCCTCCGTCCCCGGCTCGACCCTCCCTCCTGCCGCTGCTCACCCTCTTGGAATTTGGGTTTGGGGTCCTGCTTGGGCGCCATTTATAAGCGACTCCTCCGCCTCCCCCTCCCCGCGGGGGCTCCTCAGCTGCGTCGCCGCATTATGGCAAGAGGAGGGGAGCCTCCGCTACGGCGCATGCGCGCGCACAGGATCTTTCCACGCCTGGCTCTTCCTCCTCTCCCGGGGCATGCTGGGTTTTGTAGTCTTCGGGGGCGGCTCCTCCTGCTTCCCGTCTGGTCGCCGCTGCGCCTGCCTGCCTGTCACATGAGCTGCTAAAACAAACTTCCTTTCTTTAATTAGCCAATGGGCAAAAGAGGCGCGCTCAACGTGGGGCTCGAACCCACGACTTTGGTATTAAGAGACCCATGCTCTACCGACTGAGCTAGCCGGGCATCAGCACAAGTCCTTCACCCTGAAATACTCCTGCCTGCAACCCCTGATGCTGCTGTCTGCCTTCAAGCATGCGGCAATGTTGGTCATCAGGCAGGTGATGCTTTCACTGTTTTCTTTTCAGCTTAAACATTTTTCCTTAGACATGCCAGATGATCAGAAAGTTGATTCAAGTTTGAATCTACTCTTAGTCTATAGTCTTGGGGACGCAGATGGCGCTGTGGGTAAAACCTCAGTGCCTAGGACTTGCCGATCGTATGGTCGGCGGTTCGAATCCCCATAGCGGGGTGAGCTCCCGTAGTTAGGTCCCAGCTCCTGCCCACCTAGCAGTTCGAAAGCACCCCTAAGTGCAAGTAGATAAATAGGTACCGCTTTATAGCGGGAAGGTAAACGGCGTTCCGTGTGCTGCGCTGGTGCTGGCTCGCCAGCTGCAGCTTCGTCATGCTGGCCACGTGACCCGGAAGTGTCTCCGGACGGCGCCGGCTCCCGGCCTCTAGAGCGAGATGAGCACACAACCCTAGAATCGGACACGACTGGCCCATACGCGCAGGGGTACCTTTACCTTTACCTAGTCTATAGTCTATTGTCAGTCACCCTTTTAGAAAGTCTTAAATTGTTGTTGTTATTTTGTCTTAGTGATACTTGAATTGTTTTGTCTTTTTTTTACCCCCACTGCGGATTTTGAATTTATTTTTTATTTTTTTACAGTGAAGCAGTGTATAAGTTTTATGAAATAAATAAAATCACTGGAAGCTCTGGATCTGGGATAATGGCAGAGGTTTCCCAACTGGCCAGCCACGTACCCCACATAATCTTGGGGGGGGGAGTAGGGTCAGAGTTTATATAAATATGTCTATATTTGACAACAGGGTTAAACACAACATGTATTTTATTCATTTATTAAGGGTTGTATCCTATGCTAGTTCCACCTAGAATAGACCTCATTGTCGTTAGTGAACCTGACTCTCTTAGGTTCATTAATTTACTGGGTCTACTCTGGGCTAGTGCTGGCTACAACCCATAATTTCCTTTCCACACACAATTGGAGCTGCCCACTCATCTGCCCCATCTTCCCACACCACAGATTCAGGAGCAGTTACATCAAAAGCCCTTTTCCTCCATCATTGGATCTGCCAGTCAGGAGAAAGACTAGCCTCAGAAAGCCCTACCCACAACTGCAGCCTTTCAATCATGCTTTAGCAGAGAAAGGGAGGTGGGACTACAGGGCCACCCCACCAGCGCAGCAGAAACACCACTATCATCTTCCTCTCCAAATTTTATCATTCCAAGTCTTGTGGTTGCAATAACTCTGCAACTAAAAAAACACGTGCCTGAGCTTGCTTTTTTCCTCCTCCCTCCCAACTCCTTTCCCTTTCGTGTCATTACTTTTAGGCTTCAAGCCAGCAAGCAGTCTTGTACATTGCTCTGAGAGGTTTTTTCAGCTGAAAAGCAAGTAAAAAATAAGTTTTTTTAAAAAAAATCTAGGCAGAATGGGACTTCAGAACTCCCACCCACCCCACCCCACTTGGAGGCATGGAGCTGTCCATAGTGCTGGTTCTGATGCTGCCACCTAGAGGGGAAAAGGCAAAGGGGCAGGGATCACATTCTGCCCCAGGGGTGCTGAGGCAGTGGAGATAAATGTCCCATGCTGAGGATTTCTTGTCAGGACAATAGGATTCCCTTCCCATTCCTGGCACCAAGTCTGTGAGGAGTCCTTGCACATAGAGAGGCATGCAATCTGCCTGCTTCCTTCTCAGTATGGCAACTGGGGAAAAGGGTGTTGTGATGCAACCTTGAACAGAGCAGCTGGCTTTCATATTTCCATTGTGACACTGACTACAAAGAGTAGCCTCTCCCTTTTCCCACCAGATGGCACCCTTGTTCCAAGACAGGGCTCAATGATGGACTCTGTAAGCAGGAAATAATATATAATGGGCTCAATGAGCAGGGAATGATAGCCTGTGAGAACATTGAAACTGCCTTCCCAGATCAGGCCAGGAGTTCTATTTCCAATAGAATAAAGTAATCCAAGTGCCTTTGGGAACCCAAAGCAGTGTGTGTGACTGATTTAAATAAATGGACACAATACCCAAGTGTTTCCAGCTTCCGAATGGACAGGCTAACCACAGTTTATCACTGCTGACTGCGTTGGTGTTCCACATGCTCAGCACTCCCTGTTTCCATTGCACCTCCGTCTCTGGAGGCAAAGCTGCAGCCATAGTTATGGTTTCGTAGAATTGTAGAGTTGAAATATACCCCAAGGGCCATCTAGTCCAACCCCTGCAATGTAGGAATCCCACCCACAGCCGTCCCGGGGTGGCCTCGAACCACCAACCTTCTGGTTAACAGTCAGACATACTGACCCACTGAGCCACGGATACCTGTTTGTCAAGCCAGGGATTGTGCCGTATCCTATTTAGTGCAAGCCATGGTGTCTGTATCTGATTGTTGCTGCAAAGCATGCTTGATCAGTTCAGACATTGGGCCAAACCATAGGTAAGCTTCCCCAGCTATAGTTTGGCATGTCAGGCAGTCTTCCCCAATCTGAGACTCTCCAGGTGTGTTGGCCTGCAACGCCCACCAGTCCTTTTAGCACAGCTGGATGGTGGGAGTTGTAGTCCAAAACATCTGGAGAGCAGCAGTTTATTGCAGTGTTTCCCAACCTTGGGCCTCCAGCTGTTTTTGGACTACAACTCCCATCATCCCTAGCTAGCAAGACCAGTGGTCAGGGATGATGGGAATTGTAGTTCAAAAACAGCTGGAGGCCCAAGGTTGGGAAACACTGGTTTATTGAAGGCTGATTCCCATCAGGTTCCAATCTAATGCTAGTTATTTCTATGGGATATTCAAATTGTGCATTATCTTACATAAACTGTCTTGGAGGACTGAAAGGCAAGATGCAGTCAGATTAAACAGATTACTGGAAAACAAAACTATAGGATGTACAAGGCAGATTAACCAGATCCATTTCAGTCTGACTTCAGGCCCTTTTCTGGCACTGAGATGGCCTTGGTTGGCCTGTTGGGTCACCTCTGCCTGGAGAGGGAAACAGGAATTGTGCTTTACCTGTGAGCAAAGCTCAATGGATCTCCACGGTCAGAAAGGCAAGACCTGGAATTGCACAACTTTAAATCAAGAACCTTCTAACTGCTCCCAGTAAGCCCTAAATATCTGGGAGACCGCCCTGCTTCCCCACAGACTGTCTGTCAGAGGGGCTCCTTTTGGTCTTCTTATGCCCTCAGAGACTTAGCGGTGTGGGGGGGGGGGTTGGCAGCCCAGTAGAGGGCCTTCTCCGTGGAGTCCCCTAAGGTATGGAACTCCCTCCCAGCAGTGGGACATCTGGTGCCTTCATTATACAGCATTTGGAGAAGATGCACACCTTTCAAAGTCAAGGTGTATGTTTCAAGGACGCACCCTATTTTTATGCATGGAAGTTGTGTTCTTTTATTAAAAAGTTAAAAAATATGCTTTAACCTGCCCTGGGAAAATAGGTGGGCAAAAAATAGATTAACAAAAGTAATAACAATAATAATATTTATCATGGGAAGAAGCATTCTTCCCCACCGCCCGTTCCTCCAAGCCAGCGACGTGCGTGGTTCTCCTCCCTCTCCACTTTACCTGCACAACATCCCTGCAAGGTGGATTCCCAGCTGATGGACAGCGACAAGGTCAAGGGACGACGCTGGCTGCAGCGGAGCTGCAAGACCGCGCTTCTGCCACGCGGCGGCGCAGTTCCGGCCGGTGTCCAGCAGGCGGCGTCGTAGGGCTGTCCCGCCGGCCAGGCTGCCCGCCGTGTGGGCAGGAGCAGCGGCGGCGGCAGCGGCGAGCGCGTTCGCGTCGTGCAGCTGCTGCCTCCGGCCAGGGCGCGAAGCCGGTAGCCGCGGGCATGGAGGAGCAGGCGGCCGGGCGCCCCCCGCCAGCAGCCTGAGGACGCCCCCCGGCCGCCGCCGCCTGCCCAGTATGGCCCTCCCGCTGCTCCTGGTGGCCGCCCTTCTGGCCCGCCGGGGAGGCGGCACCGAGAAGCCAGGTGGGTTCTGCGGAGCGGGGTGGGGAGTCGGACTGTGCCGCCTGCTTTCTCCCTTGGAGGCTTCGCCTGCAGCCCCCGGCTCCTGGCAGGCAATAGTTCCTATTGCATGGGGAGGGATGCAAAGCTAGGGTGCTCGGAGCATGCACAGAGTGCCTTTTCAAGAAGGGCCGGCGGAGGCAAAGGTGCCGGAGGACACGGTGCCAAATCGTGGGGGGGGGGGTGGCGGGGCGGGGGCAAGTCGGGGGTCCCGGCTCAAGTTGCAGCTTCTTGCAGCAGCAGCAGCAGCAGCAGCAGCAGCAACAAACTTCTATGCATTCCTTTGAAAAGATCACTGCCTGCCATCTAGATTTCAGTGGGTGCTTTGCTTTGGATGTTTGTGGACTGAATCTGGGCAAAAGGCTGCTTGGAGCAGCGCCCCCCCCCCCACTCACAAATTCTATTGTTTCCTTGGAAATATTTGTGGCAAGATTGTGGCGGCGGGGGGGGGGGGGAGCTGGGAGGCTCTCCTACTCCTCCTGGCATCCGGCAGCCTGTTTTTATTCAAGGGGGGGTGCTCCTTTGTAGCACCCGCTGGGCCTTCTCCGAAGAAAGGAGGGATCTATCTCAGCTTTTCTGGAGTCCCAGTTGAGAAAGTGGATAGAGAAAAGTTCTTCTCCCCGCCTTCTAACATTGGAACTCACGGTCACCCAGTGATGCTGAATGTTGGAAGATTCAGGACAGAGAAAAGAAAGGAGTTCTTCACGCAGTGCGGAGCTGAATTGTGAAATTCACTCCCGCAGGAGGCAGTGACAGCCACCAAGTTGCATGGCTTTCGGCTGGCATCCCTCTGTCTCGAGAGACAATGGAGTGTACTTCCGGGGCTCCCGAAGTCAAACCAATGGCTTTTAAAACAGAAGGAAGAGCCTGGCTGCAGGATCAGACCACTGGCCCATCTAGTTCTGCACCCCCTTCTCACAGTGGCCAACCAGATGCCCCAAAAAGAAATCCCACGAGCAGCATCTGAGTGCAAGAGCACTCTGCCCACCTGCAACTCCCTACAGGTGGTATAGGCATCATGGCTAGTAGCCTTTAAAAAAGGATGAAAGACATTCATGAAAGATGGTGCTTTCAATAGTTACTGGCCACAAGGGCCAAAGTATATACTAGCTCAGGCAGCATGATGTTGAACGCCAGAGACTGGAAACTGCAGGAGGGGAGAGTGCTGTTGTTCTCAGGTCCCAATTGTGGGCTTTCCCTTGGGGTACCTGGTTGGCCACTGAGAGGACAGGATGCTGGACTAGTTGGGCTCCCTTTGGCCTGACCCAGCAGCCAGGATCATCTCCTGCTCTTGACCTCTGGAGGGCCGAGCGGAGGAAACTGGAGATTTGTCTACCTGCACTCTCAGGTGCTGTCTGCCAGCCAGAGCTTATCGTAAGTGATAAAGCTTTGGAAAGCACAGATTGCAGCTTGTTGTTGTTGTTTAGTCGTTTAGTCGTGTCCGACTCTTCGATTCCAGCTTAGTATAACAATAAAACTGTAGAGCTGGAAGGGACCTCAAGGGTCAGGTGTGCCAACTCCAGGGGTCTCTTGAAATCTCTGGGCGAGGGACCCCAATGTTAAGGGGCAGAGAAGGCTCCTGACAGTCAGACTCCCCGACCGTTCCTTCTCCATGAGCCTCGAGTGCCATCGCCTTTGGCGCCTTGACATGACCCTGCTGATGAGTCCAGCACATCTTCCTTCAGCTTCATAACCTTGTAGGAAAAAAATGTCCCTAGGCATATCCTTGCTGCTACCATAACCCAGGTTTAAGGTGCTACTTGGCTCTTAGCTTTTATATCTCAGTTTCTAACACTGGCCTCACAGCTGCCTCATTGGGGCAAGATCTGCTGGGAAGAGTTGCAGTGCTAAATAGGCCTGAGCTCGGTTGTTTCTTTGAATAAAGAGTTCACTGACACCTTGTGAGTTATTGCTGACCAGCTTCTGGTCTAAAACACCTGGAAGGTGCCTTGTTGCCGCCTTTGAGAGACTGGCCCTTCCTCTTTCCAGATGATCATTCCAAAGTATTTCCCGCAGGGGTTGGATCTGCCGACACACAAGATCCTGGCTATGACGTCGTTCACCCCGTCAAGGTGGACGAGCGAGGCTTTTTCCTCTCTTACAACCTGTCCTACCGCTCGCTGTACAAAAGGGCCATCTCCTCGAGGAATCGCCCGCTTGCTTTCTACAAGCTGTACCACCGAGGGCAGGAGCTGATGTTCAACCTGAGCCTGAACAGCCGCCTCCTGGCTCCCGGCTTCGTCAGTGAGAGACGGTTTGGAGGCATCGCCCACGCCAAGATCCAGGCTTACAAGCAGAACTTGTGTCATATGATCGGGTCCGTTCAGAACCAGGAACAAGAAAGTGGATTGGCTGCTCTAAGTACCTGTGATGGGCTGGTAAGCATCATGGACTCTTTGCATCTTAAGACGTAGAACCATCAGATCGTAGAATTGCAGAGTTGCAAGGGACCCAGTGGGTCATCTAGTCCAACCCCCTGCAATAAAGGTAAAGGGACCCCTGACCATTAGGTCCAGTTGTGGCCGACTCTGGGGTTGCGGCGCTCATCTCGCTTTATTGGCTGAGGGAGCCGGTGTACAGCTTCCGGGTCATGTGGCCAGCATGATGAAGCCGCTTCTGGCGAACCAGAGCAGCACACGGAAACGCTGTTTAACTTCCCGCCAGAGTGGTACCTATTTATCTACTTGCACTTTGACGTGCTTTCGAACTGCTAGGTTGGCAGGAGCAGGGACGAAGCAACAGGAGCTCACCCCATTACGGAGATTCGAACCGCCGACCTTCTGATCGGCAAGCCCTAGGTTCAGTGGTTTAACCCACAGCGCCACCCACGTCCCTACCCCCTGCAATAGCCATCCCCTGCAATAGCCATCTTCAAATATCTCAAGGGCTGTTTTCTCCTACACTGGAGGGCAGGTCTTGAACCAATGGCTTCAAGTTACAAGAAAGGAGAGTCCAACTAAACATAGGGGGAAACCTTCTGACAGTAAGAGCTGTTTGACAGTGGGACAGTCTCCCTCTGGAGGTTGTGGACTCTCCTCCCTTGGAGGTTTATAAGCAGAGGTTGGATGGCCATCTGTCAAGGATGCTATAGCTGAGATTCCTGCACTGTAGAGGGTTGGACTAGATGACCCTTGGGGTCCCTTCCAACTCTACAATTCTATGATTCTGTGATTCTAATGCCTTCACCAACCTGGTGCCTTCCAGGTGTTTTGGACCACAACTCCCATCAACTCAACATCATTAGCCCCAGCCAGCATGGCTGTGTTCTCATCATCCCCTACATGACTGGGACTGATGGGAGTTGTAGTCCAAGACACCTGGAGGACACCAGGTTGGGGAAGCCTGGCTTAGAAACTGACCTGGTGGCTTTGATGCATTGTAGAGTTGGAAACTTCCTTAATGGCAAGTTATAAATGTCGCTGACCTTCAGTGCAACATCCCTCTTTTGTTATGCTTTTGTACAACAATTGGCGATTGTTGTCCGGCACGAGTGAAGGTAATTATAAGTCTCGTCTCCTTTGCAGATTCTTTTTTCTTTTTTTAAAAAAAGTAATGTTTTATTCTTAGATATTGTGATTAAAGGAAACAAACAAGACTCCTGCATGGCGTGCCCTGGAAAGCTTTGCCGAAGAGATCATGTGCAACACACATGAGATTCTGAGACCACCGATGTTGGGAGTCTCATTCCACTCTCAGTGACGGTCCAATCCTGAAAGGTTTTATTATAGTCAGGTTTATTTATTTATTAAAAGGGACACGGGTGGCGCTGTGGGTTAAACCACAGAGCCTAGGACTTGCCGATCAGAAGGTTGACGGTTCGAATCCCCGCGATTGGGTGAGCTCCGGTTGCTTGGTCCCTGCTCCTGCCAACCTAGCAGTTCGAAAGCACGTCAAACTGCAAGTAGATAAATAGGTACCACTCCGGCGGGAAGGTAAACGGCGTTTCCGTGCACTGCTCTGGTTCACCAGAAGCGGCTTAGTCCTGCTGGCCACATGACCTGGAAGCTGTACGCCGGCTCCCTCAGCCAATAAAGCAAGGTGAGTGCCACAACCCCAGAGTCGGCCATGACTGGACCTAATGGTCAGGGGTCCCTTTACCTTTACCATTATTTATTTATTATATAACAGGTTCCTGAACTATATAGGTCATTGGCTTCATCCAGCAGGCTCTTCTTATGTTCTTATGTTATTTGCAACCACATCTGCAAACTCTTAAGACGTGGAAATTTATGTACTGTAGTGATGATGAGTCTTGTCGTCTCCAGAAAGGAGTCTTCCGGCTGGCTAACGAAGACTTCTTTATCGAGCCACTGCCTGAGAGCAACTCCAGGGAGAAGGCGGCCCATCCCCACAGGATATATAGACGCCACGTCCCAGATTATGAGGCCGAAGAGTTTATTTCAGTCGTGAGCATGAAACAAGACAGGAAGCAGTCTGCCGTTGTCAGGATGTGTGGGGTCCAAGGTAACACCCCCCTCCTCCTGGTTCACAAATGATTTGTTGGCTGAAGGAAGCTTCCTAATGTGTTGGCTTCCTAATGTGTTAGCATTACTTTCCTCCCTGAGATTGCATGCTGACTTTGTTATTCGAAAATTCACATTATATGTCGCCTAGATGTGACATTAACGGCATGAATGCTGCTCACATGAATGTGCATGTCAATGTGAACAGCAGTCGTGGGTGAGAAAAGCAGCAGCAAGTCTGTAGCAGGTGACTTTTTATCCAGAGAAATGTTGAATCCATGCTTCTTAATGGAAATTACTGGGGACATGTTTTCAGCTGTGGCTCAGCTAAGCAGACCAGGGCTGGTTTTGACCTTTTGAGCTCTAAATACAGACCTGGTACCCTCCAGATGTTTTGGACTACAACTCCCATCAGCCCCAGCCAGCATGAATGAAAAGAGAACTTCAGAAACAATGCGCCTGCAAAAAAAAAAAAGCAGAAAAAATTTGTTTGTGCTGACTGGGGCTGGTGGGGGTTGTAGTCCGAAACATCTGGAGGGCACCAGGTTGGGGAAGGCTGTCCAAAATCTTTTGGACACAATTCAGAAGAGCATTTTCTGCATTTTTGCAGGGGAGTTGTTTCCAAAGTTCGCTTTCCAGCTGCCTAATTGAGCGTGACCGCAGTTCAAAGGCTGGAAGAGAGAGCGGGGATTGTGTGGGAGATGGTGCAGCCCTGACTGGGCATTCCCCAAAGGGCAAGGTTTTCTTCATGCTATGCAGCTCCTAAAAATCTCCATCTATGTTGCCGCTTAGGGGGGAGCCTCTGGAGCAAATTGGGGGATGTTCATGGTGGGTTTTGATTGCACTTTGGGCCTCCCACCTTGCCTGGGAGGATCTAACTTGTAGATTTCACTTTGAGTCGAGACACTGATTAGCCACGGATACTGTTCCCCTACAATAAACACTTTCCACCTGAAGGCAGCCTCGCTTGGGGGTGAGAATTTGCCCCTGTTGCTTTTAGGATTCTCCCTGTCATTCAAAACAAGGTTTCAGAAGCTTTTCTGAACAAACAACTCCCATCACCCCCGCGGTTGGAATATGCTGGCTGCTAGAAGTTGTAGTACAGTAACATCTGGAGAGCCAAAGTTTTCCCACCCCTGGACTACAGCAAAAACTTGCCTGAAGAATCAAAGTTGGGTGGTGGGCATGCATCCTTGTTGCAAAGGAAAGAGGTATGGTAGATCCCATTATTTGAGTGGGAAGATGGCATAGATCCAGGTGTTGGAAGCCTGTTGGACATCAGCTTCCATCAGTCCAAACCAGCATGGTCAATTGGCAGTGATAGGAGTGGAAGCTGAAGAACTTCAGGTTCCCCATCCTTGAGTGACATCAGCCTTCCCAAGCCTGCTGCCCTCAGTGGTCATGAGTGGTGATGGGAGATGGAGTCCAACCACATCTGTAGGGCACAAATGGACCCATACCCCTGTTGAAGGGACCCAGATGCTTCAAGGCTGACCAGCTTGTAGAGCAGCAGCAGCAGCAGAGGGTCCCAGGCATCCTCTCATCTTCTCCTCTCAACCTCCAAGAAAGCCTCGAGACCTCTGAGAAGCAGAGAGAGAAGTGGGAGGAGAAGCGGCGGAGGAAGCGGCGGATCAAGCAGCGCTCTGTCAGCAAGGAGAAGTGGGTGGAGACCCTGGTGGTGGCCGACACCAAGATGGTCAAGTATCATGGCAGCGAGAACGTCGAGAAGTACGTCCTGACGGTCATGAACATGGTGAGTCCTTCATGGGTGGGAGAGAGAGAACCGGTCTTTGTGCTAGGTGGGGAAAGCTGCTCAATGCACTAGACCAGTGGTTCCCAAACTTTTCCAGGCCAACTCCCCTTTGGTCCCATCAACTCATCCCCAATGCCCCCTACCCCATAAAAAGTATTATTCACAATAGTGGTTTGCAGAACCCACTAATGAAGATAGTAACAGGTCTAGAGTGAGAGACTAGGGTGATCTCCACTGTTGTGAGACTTTTGTGGGTGAACTGAGAGTTTGTTGGACCTTGGGCGAGAACCCAGAGACTGAGAGGGAGAGTGTGTCAGATACTGATATTGATACTGATTTCTATATATTAGTAACATTCGTATTAATGTAACGTTTTTATAGGTACAGTCGTACCTTGGATCTCAAACACCTTGGCTCCTGAACAAATAGGCTCCCGAACGATCGAAACCCTTAAGTGTGTGTTCTGGTTTTCGAACGTTATTTGGAAGCCGAATGTCCGACGAGGCTTCTGTGGCTTCTGATTGGCTGCAGGACCTTCCTGCAGCCAATCAGAAGCCGCGCTTTGGTTTCTGAACGTTTTGGAAGTCGAATGGACTTCCGGAACGGATTCCGTTCGACTTCCAAGGTACGACTGTAACTGTGTGTGAAATTTTTATCAATTCTTAGCTCTAAATCAGAAGAAAAGGCAATCTGTGTAAAATCCTATTGCTGTTTATTCCAATTCAGTGCCAAGCTGCTGCTTTCCCCGGAGGAAAGCAGTGGGGCAGACGGAAGCATGGATGAGCCCTATGTCGGGTCCATCAGCTTCAGTGGGTCTGCTCTGAGCAGGACTAGCGTTGAATACCAGCCTTGATCTTCTGAGGACCAAGTGTAGCATGGTGGCTAGAATGCCAGACTAAGACCTGAGAGACCAGGGTTCAAATCCCCACTTGGCTATGAAGCTAACTGCCTTTCTCAATCCAAACTACATCACAGAGATTTGAATGAGGAGGGGGAGAAGCATGTATTGCTTGGAGAAAAAGGTGGGATATAAATGCAGTGAATGAGTGCAAGTTACAAAGGGAGTGTGGTGACAGCGGGGTCTTCCCACCCTCCACCCCCTGAGCCTTCATCAGCTCTGTTTCTCCTTTGGCGCAGGTGGCCGGAATGTTCCACGATGCCAGCATTGGGAACCCTATCCATGTTTCCATTGTGCGCCTTATCTTCCTGGAAGAAGAAGAGGTACAAAGAGGCTTTCAATACCGCTGTGCTGTTTTCATTATCTGTATTTTAATAGATTCAGGTGTTTTTAATTATTATTATTAGTTTAATTACTTTTTAACAATTGCATTCTATACGCTTTTAGCTTTTTGCATTTTATCTGCGTCCTTTTTTATTTGTGTAAGCTGCCTTGAGTTCTGGTCTGGGGAAAATGTGGTATATAAAGAAATATGATAATAATGGAAGAATTTAGCTGTGAATCCTCCATTGCAAGGGGTAGGACTAGATGACCGCTTGGGTCCCTCCTGTCTCTACAATTCTATGATTCTGACGTTAACTAGCATACCTTCTGTTCCTGCCAGCACCTCACAGGATGTAGGAGCAACTTTCTGCAATTAGGTTGAACGGGCCTCTGGGAATTTAGGTGCCTCTCTGCACAACCCGCAGACCACATAGCAATTTCTCCCTGAAGCAATTTCAGTGGCCTTTTTCAGGCTTCCCCTGTCAGCCTAGGGCTGCCTCTGTGAAAGGCAGGAAGTGTTTCTGGAAAGGTTGTCCAAGGCGGTGGTTTGCAGCGGTGAGGGTCCTTCATGCACGAGTCTTCTAATTTGTCCATGGGTGTGTGCATTTCTGTGCAGATTAGGCTGCTGGGGTGTGTTGGGAGGAGATGTTGTGTGCTTGTATTGTGTGCTTATGCATGCAGTTATTGGGGAGGGGGGAATCTTCAAAGCAGGGCTGGACCAACGGCAAGAGATGTTGCTCAGGGCAATGATACCAATAGGCACATCAGTGATGCGATGCACAAGGCCCAGGATCTCTTGAAACGCTGGCCGGGACTGCTGGAAATCATAGTCCAAAATGTCTGGAGAGTGCAGCGGCTTGGCAAAGGCTGGTTTAGTATCCGATCCTATTAAAAGGTAAAGGTAAAGGGACCATTAAGTCCAGTCGTGGCCGACTCTGGGGTTGCGGCGCTCATCTCGCTTTATTGGCAGAGGGAGCTGGTGTACAGCTTCCGGGTCATGTGGCCAGCATGACTAAGCTGCATCTGGCGAACCAGAGGAGCGCACGGAAACGCCGTTTACCTTCCTGCCAGAGCGGTACCTATTTATCTACTTGCACTGGTGTGCTTTCGAACTGCTAGGTGGGCAGGAGCTGTGACTGAGCAACGGGAGCTCACCCCGTCACGGGGCTTTGTAAATAATAAAGTGGAGGACACAGAGTAATGGGAATGCCCCCAAAATGTGTCTTGATGGAATGCTAAACAGGAATTCAGCGCAAAGCATAGAATCATAGAATTGAAGAGCTGAAAAGGACCTCAAGGGTCATGTAGACCAACACTCTGCAGTGCAGGAGTCACAGCTAAAGGTTCCCTGACAGATGGCCAGCCAGCCTCTGCTTAAAAACCCCCACTGATGGAGAGTCCACCACCTTCCGAGGGAGCCTGTTCCACTTTTGCTAACGGAAATTTTGTCCTAATATTTAGTCAGAATCTCCTTTCTTGTTGTTTGAATCCACTGGTTCCAGTCTTCCCCTCTGGAGCAACAGAACTTGCTCCATCTTCCATGTGACGGGCAGCCCTTCAGATATTGGAAGATGGCTATCGTACCTCCTCTCAGTCTCTTCTTCTCCAGACTAAACATACCCTTCTCCCTCAACTGTTCCTCATAAGGCTTGACTTCCAGACCCTTGATCATCCTGGTCCTCCTCTTCTGCAAAACCTTCCAGCTGGTCAACATCCTTCTTAAATAGTGATGCCCAGAACTGGACACAGGTGGGGTTGGACCAAAGCATCTCATCTCCGTTTCTGTAGGACGACCTGAAAATCACTCACCACGCAGACAACACCTTGAGAAGTTTCTGCAAGTGGCAGAAGGCCATCAATGTGAAGGGGGACGACCATCCGCTGCACCACGACGTGGCTGTCCTGCTCACAAGGTATAGCTCTGCTCAGGCTCTGCACTGGCGCTACCACACATTTCTTTGAAGGCATTTATAAACCACTTAACATTTTTTTAAGTCTCTAAGTGGTAAGTCCATGCACTACGAACAAGGGCATCCCATGTGGTTCCCCACTGATTTCGTAGGTTTCCAGATCCCTTCGGTCCCAGCTGGCAGAGCCAGCGATTGGGGTGGTAAAGAGAGCTGGAGGCATCATGCAACATGGAGCCTGTGTGGTGCAATGGGTCCGTGCATCTGGCTGTTAACCATAAGGTTGGTGGTTCAAGCCCACCCAGGGATGGCTATGGGCAGGATTCCTGCATTTTAGAGGGTTGGATTAGATGACCCTTGGGGTGCTTTCCAACTCCACAATTCTATGAACATCTGGAGGGCACCAGGTTTGTTTGTTTTATTTCTTACATATATATAGCATCTTTTAATATTTTAATATTTTGTTGGAAGCTGCCCAGAGTGGCTGGGGAAGCCCAGCCAGATGGATGGGATAATAATAATAATAATAATAATAATAATAATAATAATAATAATAATAATTTGGTTCTCCTGCTCGTCTTACCCACCCCACCCCCTACAAATAATTTTTATTGGTTTTCATGTAAATACAAAAACGACATATAGCTACAGTAACTTGTCCAATGGTACATTAAGTTTCATATGCAGTACACAGTACACAAGCAGTGTGTTGTGTTAATTTTTTCATTATCAATTCAAGTATCCTCCCACATACTTTTGGCTGAGGGGGAGGGATTGAACCAAGGTCACCCGGTGAGCTTTGTGGCCAAGTGGGGATTCGAACCCTGATCTCCCAGGTCCAACAATCTAACAGCTACATTACACTGGCTGTTATCTACTCATATTGGAATGAATATGCAATTAACAGTAGTTGTGATAGAACCTCTACACAACCCTTTATGCAAACACACCAGGCTGACTGCTGCCTCTTTTTCCTCATGTGTGTGTTTTCTGCCTGCCTGGGGAAGGAAAGACCTCTGTGCCGCCATGAACCGTCCCTGTGAGACTCTCGGCCTGTCTCACGTCTCCGGCATGTGCCAGCCTCACAGGAGCTGCAACATCAACGAGGACACGGGGCTCCCTTTGGCCTTCACTGTGGCTCACGAACTTGGACACAGGTACTGGAGGGGCAGCGCTCGTTGATCACACAACGCATAGCTAAACTGTGGAACTCCCTCCCACAAGAGGCAATGATGGCCACCAATCTAGATGCTTTAAAAAAAGGGTTGGGCAAATTTGTGGAGGAGAGGACCATTGATGGCTACTAGCCATGATGCCCATGCTCTGCCGCCACAGTTGGAGGCAGCAATGCTTTTGAATGCCAATTGCTTGAAAACACAGGAGGGGAGAAGGCTCTTGTGCTCAGATCCTGCTTGAGGGCTTGAGCTGGGGCTGATGGGAGTTGTAGTCCAAAATATCTGGAGATCACCAGGTCAGGGAATGCTGCATTTAGAGCAGGGGTCAGCAACATGCGGCCCATGGGCCGGATGCGGCCCACGAAGACCGTTTTACCGGCCCACAAGCTGCCCCTGAACCAAGCTGCCTGCTCGGTGAGTCCCCCACGCGCTGCACTAAACTGGTGCAGCACGGGGACTTGCTGAGGAGCACCGGAAATTGCGTCTGCGCACGCACAGATACTGGAAATCGTTTCTGCGCATGTCTAGATGCCGAAAAGCGCTTCTGCGCAGGCGTGATTTTCGGCATCTGAGCATGCGCAGAAGCAATTTCCGGCGCTGTGGACATGCACAGATGCGATTTCCAGCGTCGCGCTACACCAGTCCGGCCCACGGACGATCTCTGTGGAAGTGATCCGGCCATGGCCGGTAAACCTTGCCGACCCCTGATTTAGAGCCTACTACCTCCCTCTTCCTAGGGGCGCGGGTGGCGCTGTGGGTAAAAGCCTCAGCGCCTAGGGCTTGCCGATCGAAAGGTCGGCGGTTCAAATCCCCGCGGCGGGGTGCGCTCCCGATGCTCGGTCCCAGCGCCTGCCAACCTAGCAGTTCGAAAGCACCCCCGGGTGCAAGTAGATAAATAGGGACTGCTTTCTAGCGGGAAGGTAAACGGCGTTTCCGTGTGCGGCTCTGGCTTGCCAGAGCAGCGATGTCACGCTGGCCACGTGACCCGGAAGTGTCTCCGGACAGCGCTGGCCCCTGGCCTCTTGAGTGAGATGGGCGCACAACCCTAGAGTCTGTCAAGACTGGCCCGTACGGGCAGGGGTACCTTTACCTTTTACCTCCCTCTTCCTGCAGACAGCATGGCCCCAGTGTCACATGACCCTGCTGGCTGGGGCTGATGGGAATTGTAGTCTCAACCCCTCTGGAGAGCACTTGGTTGGCCAAGGCTGATCCCTCAAAGGCTCGGGGAGGGAAGACTCCCGCCCCGGGGTGTGTGGATGTGAATTTGGCTTCCGTCCCGGATCTTGGGGTGCCCCCTTTGAAGCTCCTTTGCGGTCGTGTCTCTGGGCGCGTGGCTCACCTCCCCCTTTGCGGGGCTGTGCTCTTACAGTTTTGGGATTCAGCATGACGGAAGCGGCAATGACTGTGAGCCAGTTGGGAAAAGACCTTTCATCATGTCTCCACAGCTCCTGTACGACACCTCGCCACTCACCTGGTCCCACTGCAGCAGGGAGTACATCACCCGCTTCCTCGAGTAAGTCTGGGGGGCAATTACCATTGGCTTAGCTCTCGATAGCTGGGGCTGTGATGTAGGGGTCCTTGTTCACTCTCTGTGTGTTGGAGGGGTGGTGCGAGGCATTGGGTCATTTGGGTCAATGAAACAACTTAAGCCCCAAATTCCTGAAAGATCGTCTCCTTCCCTACAGACCCTCTCGGGTGCTGACATCAGCAGAGAGGGCTCCTGCAGTCAATGCCCCTTTAGGCTTTCAAATGTTTTTTTTGACATGGTGTTTTTTAAATTATGAGCCATAGAATCATACAAGTTGGAACAGACCGCGAGGGTCCTCTATTCCAACCCCCTACAACACAGGACTCTTACTTAATGTGGGGATTGAACCCACAACTCTGAGATTAAGAGTCTCATGCTCTACCGACTGAGTCACAAGCCATGGACTTCTGCAGGAACGGCACACTGCCAAATGATAGTCGCACCTGTGCCTGCTCACACCTATGCCGTCTCTAAGATCATGCAATAATCCCATAAAGAGAGCCAGCGTGGTATAGTGGTTAAGAGCGGTGGACTTGTAATCTAGTGAACCGGGTTCGTGTCTCCGCTCCTCCACATGCAGCTGCTGGGTGACCTTGGGCCAGTCACACTTCTCTGAAGTCTCTCAGCCCCACTCACCTCACAGAGTGTTTGTTGTGGAGGAGGAAGGGAAAGGAGATTATTAGCTGCTTTGAGACTCCTTCGGGTAGTGATAAAGCGGGATATCAAATCCAAATATACAATAATAATAATTAAAGATGCATTGCAATGACCAGGGCAGATCTCTGTGCGTTGCCTTTCAGGTAGTTCTGCTCAGTGCTATGTTTCTAGAAAAAGAGGTGCTGGAACGCACCGTGAACACCTCCCTTGTTCTCTTATAATGGTGCCCACTTCAGAGGTGCCGGAACTGAGTTCTGGCGAGTTCTGGCTGGAAAAAATAGACTTGGATCTACTATTTTCTGTGCACGTACATGGGCAAATTATTTGGGGAGCTCCAAGATCTTCTTTCAGGGGCCTTCAGTTGTGTTTTCATTGAAGTTTCATGGTACGTAGGAGAACTTGCACCCCACTCTCTTGTAACGGAAGGCCCACCTGTCTTTTCTCGGTTCTCGATGCTTGACTTTGAAGCACACAGTGGCCGAAAAGTTTCCTTTTCATGCTGATGAGGCAGTTCTAGGAGGCTTGAGGCAGGGACCCCACTGCAGAAATTTGCCCCTCACCCTGATCCCATACCCTCCAACATTTATCTGATGAAAATAGAGACGTCCTATTCAATAACAATAACAATAGCAAAGGTAAAGGGACCCCTGACCATTAGGTCCAGTCATGGACCGACTCTGGGGTTGCGGCGCTCATCTCGCTTTATTGGCTGAGGGAGCCGGTGTACAGCTTCCGGGTCATGTGGCCAGCATGACTAAGCCACTTCTGGCGAATCAGAGCTGCATACGGAAACACTGTTTACCTTCCCACCGGAGTGGTACCTATTTATCTACTTGCACTTTGACGTGCTTTCGAACTGCTAGGTTGGCAGGAGCAGGGACTGAGCAACGGGAGCTCACCCCGGTGCATGGATTTGAACCGCCGACCTTCTGATCGGCAAGCCCTAGGCTCTGTGGTTTAGACCACAGCGCCACCCGCGTCCCTCCTAATAACAATAGTATTTTTTACTATTTATACCCTACCTGCTCTGGGTGGCTTCCAACATATATAAAAACATAATAAAACAATTAAACTTTTTTTTAAAAAAAAAACACCTTCCCTATACAGAGCTGCCTTCAGGTGACTTCTAAAGGTTGAATAGTTACTTATCTCTTTGACATGGCATCACTGGATGGCCGTATGTGGGTCGACACTCAGAATCGAACAGTGTGTGGGTTACATGAATGAGAGATAAACAGTTAAAGCCTTGATCAAGGAGGGGTTTGGCTCTGCCTTGGCCCTGTGCTTCTAGTGTGGACTCCAGCCCTGTCCCAGACGAGACTGGTCCTCTTGGAAAGGTTGCGCCAAATTCTTTCCTCCGGCATTGTTTATTTTTAACACCTCCTTGCTGCCAATTCCTGCCTCCCCCCAGGGCACTTAAGCCAAGTGCCTGGGGATTGGGGGTCTGTCTGTCAGCTCCTGCTTGGCCCAGCTGCTCTTCCCCGCTTTGGCTCTTGTAGAAAAGAACCACAGAGGTTGTGAGGGCAGCAGCTGCAGTCCAGCTGCCTGTCAGCCCTTTTCTTGCTATTTCTTGTGACGGAGCAAACAACCAGCACCTTAGCTCAGATTTCAGGCCCGTGGCTCCAAGGCAGGGAATGAGCCAAGCCATTCAGGCCTTGCGTTGGGCTCACTTGGGAAAGAGGTGCAACCCTGCCTAAAGGCTTGAGGTCTGCTGGCAGAGGCCATTGTGTCAGATAAGAGGTTCTGGGGCTCAAGCCAGCCTGGAAATTCAGGTGGCTTTGATGGCATGTAGTACCTTCCATCAGCTTCAGCTGGTGGCCCAACTCTGCCCCTATCCAGACAGGGATAGCCTAATTTCTGTCATCAATGTCCTGGTAACCTAGATTAGATTACAGTGGTACCTTGGGTTAAGTACTTAATTCGTTCCGGAGGTCTGTTCTTAAGCTGAAGCTGTTCTTAACCTGAAGCACCACTTTAGCTAATGGGGCCTCCTGCTGCCGCCGCGCCACCAGAGCACAATTTCTGTTCTCATCCTGAAGCAAAGTTCTTTACCCGAGGTACTATTTCTGGATTAGTGGAGTCTGTAACCTGAAGCGTATGTAACCTGAAGCATATGTAACCTGAGATACCACTGTACTGCAACATGTTATATGTGTGGCTGCCTCCGAAGACTGTTGGGAAACTTCAGCTGGTGCAGAATTTGGTCGCCTGGTTGCTCGCTTGGGCAAGACAATTTTGAACATATTACACCGATCCTGGCTTTCCAGGCCCAATTCAAAGTGCTGGTTTTGACCTATAAAGCCTTTGTTGCATATCTTTAGGTACTAGGTGAAAACACACCCCTTCTCCCAGGCCTTTGGCTAATTCAGCAACCCATGGCTTTGTGTTTACCCCTTTCATTTGGGTCTTTCTCTCCACAGCCGGGGCTGGGGGCTCTGCCTGGACGACCCACCGGCCAAAGATGTGATCGACTTCCCCTCCATCCCTCCGGGAGTCCTCTACGATGTCAGCCATCAGTGCCGGCTCCAGTATGGTGCCTACTCCACCTACTGTGAAGATATGGATGTAAGGAGGGGCTGGAGCCTTGGGGGCTCCCCAGTTATTTTGGGTGCAGCAGCAGCATCAAATTCCAAACAGGGTCTGCAGGTCGGGGTGGGGTCTAATCTCGTCTCTCCAGAAGGAAACTTCGGTGGAGAGGAGGCCAGTTCAACCAAGATTTGGGTAAGCAGCTCCTGCGTTTTCACCCCAGGTAGGGCCAGTACTGTGAATATAGAATCACACAACTGTAAAGATGGAAGGGATCCCCAAAGGTCATCTAGTCCAACCCTCCGCAGTGCAGGAACCAGAGTTAAAGAATCCTTGACAGAAAGCTATCCGACCTCTGTATAAAAACTGCCAATGAAGGAGAGCTCGCCACTTTCCAAGGTCACCCAGTGAGCTCCATAGCCCAGTGGGGGATTCAAATCCTGGCCTCCCAGGTCCGAGTCTGGTGCTCTAACCACTGCACCACACAAGCATTTCCTCCATTCCTCTTCCCCCACTTTCTGCTGTGTGCTTACCTTTCCCTTGCTAGTCTCCCACACCATGGAAATTTAGGCCAACCTTCCCCAACCTTGCACCCTCCAGATGTTTTGGACTACAGTTCCCATCGGTCTCAGTCACGCTGTGTTGGGGCTGATGGAAGTTGTAGTCCAAAACATCTAGAGGGCACCCGATTGGGGAAGGCTGACTTGTAAGGTCCTTGGAGCGGGGACCTGTCCATTTTCACTTGTCTTTACTTTATCAAGCACCAGCTATACATTGATGGTGCTATGTAAAGAATGCCAATTTCAGTGCCTTTCTTACTGTGCTCCTTTCGAATTGGTCTTTGGTTCGCACAAGACTGTCAAAAAGAATCCAGAGTGTTGGGGGCCACATTGGCAGGGAAACTGCACTGCCTGGATTTGGAGATGAGAAAGGAATAAGTGGGAGCTTCTCCCCTTTTCTGTAGGGCAGTGTGGGGCTCATTCCACCCATAAGGAGAGAAAACTCACCTCTTTTTTTTGCCTTCTCATCTTACAGAGTGTCTGCAGCACGCTGTGGTGCTCCGTGGGGAACACGTGTCACTCCAAGCTGGACGCAGCGGTCGATGGCACCAAATGCGACGAGGGCAAGGTAATTCCCCTGCAAACGCATGCTCCTCTGGACTAGGAGCTGGGTTCAAATCCTCCCTCAGCCATGAAGCTCACTGGGTGGTGAGCACAGGCTACCTCTGTTATTGCAACTTAAGGAGATTTTACTTTCCTCCATGCTTTCCAGGCATGGTCCACGCTACTTTAAAGCTCTGTGCCCAAGCACCTCGCCAAGAGCCATTTGTGGTGCTTCAGCTTTAAAGGGCAGGTTTTCACTGGGAAAACTCCAGGGCGGAAAAAAACGGAGCACTCAGACATGGAACTTTAAAGTGCAGAGCTGTGCCTGAAAAGTGCAGGGCAAAAGGTGTGTGTGAATAAGCCCTCAGTGCAGACAATACTGAGCTAGGTAGATGAGTGGGCAGACCTGGTTTAAGGGAGCTTTTTGTGTTCCCACTGCTGGATTTTGCTTCTACTTGACTCTATAAAATGCACTCTTTCTCAGTATATACAGACAGCCACTCTTTCCTTCCACTGCAAAGAAAGTGTGTTCCAATTAGAGCTGGAGATGGAACCCAAATTACTCTTGGCTTTATTGCTTTTATTTTTTTAAAGGAGAGCATCTCAAGTTTCTTCCTCCCGCTGGCCTTGGGTGCAACCTGAGATGTTCACACACCAGCCACAGGCTGCCTTCATTAAATCTGTCAGGGCCCTCTCCCAATTCTGCCTTAAAACTATCCCAAACTGCAGGCTGAGAGGCTGCTTTTACAAAATCCACAAAATCCTTTTTTCCGCAACCCCCTCTTCTTCTTCTTTTTATTTTAAAAAAAGCTTCCAGCCTCATGAAGACTTTTGAAAACTTGAGAGCTCACTCACTGCTCTACAACCTTTCATTTGGACATAATGTTTATTACATCTATTTTATTAATTTGGTTTATGAGTCACCTCGTAAAAAGTACTCTTTAGGCTATGATAATGGTTTTATTCTACTATTAGCTTCTAGGTTCGGATCATGCCATTTGTTCTGGTCGTGAGGCTTTTAGGACATAATTTCCCCTCTTTTAAAGCTGTCACGAGTTAAAGAGAATTTGTGAGTCATGCTCTGCTGGTTTGCGGATAAAACGTTGTACTTAATTAGGAAGACCGTTCGAGGGAAAATGATCAAACTGCCTGCTTCAGGCTTGCATTTTCAGATATTGCCTGTGGGGTTTCTAAAATAACTCCCCAAACATAAAGCCCAGAATCTTTCTCATACACACACACACACACACACACACACACGTGTCTATTTATATGATTGCTAAGGTACTGAAATTCTGCTACAATTGTTAGAGTTTGGAGATGTACAGTGGTACCTCGGATTAAGAACTTAATTTGTTCTGGAGGTCTGTTCTTAACCTGAAACTGTTCTTAACCTGAGGTACCCCTTTTTCTAATGGGTGCACCGCCGCGCCACCAGAGCATGATTTCTGTTCTCATCCTGAAGCAAAATTCTTAACCTGAGGTACTATTTCTGGGTTAGCGGAGTCTGTAACCTGAAGCGCCTGTAACCTGAAGTGTCTGTAACCCGAGGTACCACTGTAATCCAAAACATCTGGATGGTGCCAGGTTGGAAGAAGGCTTTGGCTGAGCCTGGATGCACAGGCCAGCCTCATCTGATGTCCTCCTCCTCCTTCCCTTCCTCCACAGTGGTGCTTCAATGGGGAATGTGTCCACATGGGATACCGCCCTGAGTCCATCAACGGAGGCTGGGCGGCTTGGAGTTCCTGGGCGGCCTGTTCTCGGACCTGTGGGGCGGGCGTGCAGAACGCAGAGCGGCAGTGCAACAGCCCCACGTAAGTGACTGACCCTTCTGCTTGCAGTGGGGGGCGAGCGAGGGGAGCATATGAGAACATGAGAAGAGCATCGGCTGGATCAGGCCAGTAACACTTCTAGTCCAGCATCCTGTCTGTGAATTTGTCTAATGCTCTTTGAAAGCCATCCAAGTTGGTGGCCATCACTGTGGGAGGGAGTTCCATAGGTTAACGATGCACCATGGGTGTAGCCAGGATTTATGTTGCCCGGGCCAGGGGAGGTGGGCAGGACACCCACCTGTCCTCATCCTCTGTCTGTCTCTGTCTAGCAGATTTGGAATGAAATGTCTCGAGAACTGTTGTTTTAAATTACCTTCTTTTGAGCCCAAGTGCTCAGAAAAAACCTGTCGAAATCTTCAGTCGTTTGAAAACTAGCAAGTTAAATTTAAAAATTAACGTCAGGGAGTACCTTTCATGTGCCACAACATCGTCCAAATGACCTCAGTGAGCATTTCAGTTTCAGATACAGTGGTACCTTGGGTTAAGTACTTAATTCGTTCCAGAGGTCCGTTCTTAACCTGAAACTGTTCTTAACCTGAAGCACCACTTTAGCTAATGGAGCCTCCCATTGCCGCCACACTGGCAGAGCACGATTTCTGTTCTCATCCTGAAGCAAAGTTCTTAACCTGAAGCAAAGTTCTTAACCTGAGGTAATATTTATGGGTTACTGGAGTCTGTAACCTGAAGCGTATATAACCTAAAGCGTAGGTAACCCGAGGTACCACTGTATTCTGATTATTTCTACTTTCCGTTAAGTATTTTTATTTATTTACTTGATGGGGGGGGCAGCTGCCTCCCCTGCCCCCTGGCTGTGCCCATGCTGTGTGCTGCGTGAAGGACTTTTCTTTTATCTGGCCCGAATCTTCCAGCATTCAGCTTCCTTGGATGTCCACGAGTTCTAGCATCATGAGAGAAGGAGAAATGCGGTTCCCTTTCTCCTTGGCCATCCAACCTCTGCTTAAGACCCTCCAATGAAGGAGATCCCCCCGCTTTCCAATGTCTTATGTTCCGCCGTCAAACAGCTGTTATGGTCAGATAGTTCTTCCTAATGTGGGTGTGCGTCGGTCTTTCTGTCCCAACCTCAGGCCAAAGTACGGTGGGAAGTATTGCCTGGGGGAGAGGAAGCGCTTCAGGGTTTGCAACACCAAGCCCTGCCCCTCCGACGGACCCTCTTTCCGCCAACTCCAATGCAGCCGCTTCAACGGCAGAGCCTACAAGGGGAAGCTGTACAAATGGACCCCACTCCCTAATAACAGTGAGTCCACCTCTCTCTCTCTCCAGCAAAACAACAAAGATGTATTTATTCATGTATGCATGTATTAGTATTCCACCTTTCCTCCAAAATGTGGAATACGTGGTTTTCTGCATTTTACTTGCACAACGACCCTGGCAGGTAGACTAGGCTGAGGTGGGTAGCAACTGGCCCAAGGCCACGGGTTAGGTTCATGGCAGTTACGAATCCTGGTCTCCTAGGCCCCAGTCCAGGACTCGGACCGCTGCTGAATTCATACGATTACTCCTGCGGTTATTTAAAACATTTATTTGTTTACTTATTCACTTCATTTCTATTCCACTTTTCTTCCAAGTTGTTCAAGGTGGACTATACAGTTGCCCCCCCCCTTCAATCCCCACAACAATTCTGTGAGGTAGGTTAGGCAGAGAGGAAGTTGCCAGCCCAAGGTCAGCCAGCTAGGGGATTTGAACCCTGGTCTCCCAATTCCTGTTTCGGCACTCTAACCACTGCACTACACTGTTGTTCCTCTGGGCAATAGCAGAGCAGTTCAAAGAAGACAAAACACACACACACACATTAATCTGTTTATAATCTCAGTAAGATTATATTCATGGTTGTGTGTTGTGTGTGTGTGTGTGTGAGAGAGAGAGAGAGAGAGAGAGAGAGAGAGAGAGAGAGGGTGGGGGTGGCTAGGACCTGAGAGACTTGGGTTCAAATCCCCACTCGGCCAAGAAACTGACTGGGTGACCTTAGGCCAATCACTGCCTCTCAGCCTAACCCACCTCACAGGGTTCTTGTGGAGATTAAATAAGGAGGGAGAGAACCATGGACGCAACCTTGATCTCCTTAGAGGGAAAAGTGGGATATGGAATGTAATAAATCAAAATCCATACTGTAGCTATGCACACACAGGCACCAAGCTAAAAACTTAAGCAGCCAGTAAATGCTTGTGTGGAGAAAAAGTCTCAAGGAGGTGCCATGATCTCACCAGAGTCAGCGCCTGCCTTAGCTCAGATAAATGTTTTATTTATAGAAGTATTATTTATATATGACCCTTTTGTAAGATATCAGGGCAGCGTACAGCAATATTAACATATTTTAAAATGAGAAGCACTACAAAACATTCACTAAGCTGACTAGCTAATCAATGGCCATTTTAAACAGCTGCACAGGCTGGTCAGCATAAAAAAACACACCTTCAAAATCAAAAGTGAGGGTGCCCGCCGCATCTCTGCATGGGACCAGCAATGTGTAACACCTCATGTATTGAATACCTAATGCTGGCAAGCTGTTCCTGGGCTTCAGGAGAGGAGAGGAGAGGCAGTCAAGTGTCTGGACTTTTCTCTCTGACATCTGCAGTTAACCCTTGCGAACTTCACTGTCGCCCGGAGAACGAGTACTTTGCAGAAAAGCTCCGCGACGCTGTCATCGACGGGACCCCGTGTCACGAAGGAAACTCGAGCCGAGACATGTGCATTAATGGGATCTGTAAGGTAGGAGAGGTTTGGGGAAGTGTGACTCCCTGGATGGAGGAGAGAGAGAGAGAGAGTTTAGAGACTAGCCCTCGCCCTGTAAGAAGATCCCTGCATGTAGTAATCTAGCATATTGAAGTGTGCTGTGCTAACATTCTACATGCAGGGCATGGTGAGTCAGGTGAGAGAGCCTTCAGAGACACAGCCCTGCAATCCAAGGTGGGGGTGCAATCCAGTGAGATAGGAAAGCCAGGAGCTAAATGGCACCTTAAACCTAGGTTATGGGTGCAACAACGGAATGTCTAGGCGCGCCTTTTTTATAACAAGAATACAGAGCTGAAAATGAATAAATTGCAGCTCAAATATGATGTTCACTTTTCACATGGTCTAGTCCTTCCCTTGCCCAACCCCCTAATATTCTTACGAGAATCTCTTCTCCAGTCTTCAGAGAGGAGCTGGAAATGGGGAGGCAGAAAAAGTCCTCCTTTCCTTCCACTCTGCAGTTTTAATCTGAAATCTTAGGCGCAGTAGTGCACCCAGAGCTCAGAAACGGCTCGCCCTAATGAAATTCCCTGTCGCAAAAGGTGCCTAGGACAATGGGAGTTTCGAACACTGGTGCAATCTAGAACCCAGCCACTTTACATTCTGTATTGTGGCCAAAACTGCCCGGGTAGGCAGGGTCCCTGTGTGTGGAAAGAGACCATGGAAACAGTAAGCGTGGAATTTCTTGCAAACCCTGACGATGCCTAAGGTTTCCGGAGGAAAGGAACAAATCCAGAGTTCCCCTGCCAAACCTAGCCTGGCAGCTTCTCTCCCTGATAAAGGAAGGTCCCCCTGGAGAGTTTTGAAATAGCCTGTCGCTGACTCCAGCGGATTAAGTGATCAGAGAGGCTGGTGTGCTTCCCAAGTGATGACAGGTGAATGGGGATGTGGAGCAATCCATACTTTGCCTCTTCTGGCTTCTCAGAGAGGAACAGGAAGTGATGAAATTGGGGGTGGGGAGGGTCTCCCCGTGAGTTGGGGCAGTGCGTGAGCCTAGTCTGGTGGCTGCTTATCTGTCTTTCCTCCTCCCTGCAGCCTATTAGAATTTATGTATTTACTTATGATCTCTTTATACATGTATACCCTGCACATTGCAATTCCAGTGGCTGTGTAATAAATGCATGTGCCCTTGAGCTTCTGCCCTGGACTTCCGGAGAGCAAGCCTGGATTTTTGCCTCAGAAGTCAGCCAGTGTGAAGATCCAATCGGCCCCACCCAAGCACCCCCTAGGTTTTTGGACTACAGTTCCCCTCAGTTGCTCTGGAGGTGCTGGGGGCAAGGCTAACCCATTGCCCTTCCCTGATGCCTTTCAGAATGTCGGTTGTGACTATGAGATTGACTCCTACGCCGTGGAGGATCGATGCGGCGTTTGTCGTGGAGACGGGTCGACCTGCGAGACCGTCAAGAAGACCTTTGAGGAGAGCGATGGGCTGGGTGAGGATGTTTCTGCCAGATTTGGGGGCCCCAGTTGGGAATAAGGTGGGATGTCAGAGGATAGAAATGGAAATGGGACTGCCTGCAATGAATGAACATGGATCAGAACATAAACGGATGCCTACTGAAGTATAGGTTCAGTTCCTATACTATATCATAACAGCAAGAACCTTTATTGTACTAACAGAACTAGACAACAGGGGTAAAGCAACTGCTTATTTCTGAAGGCCTGGCCACTCCCACTCCCAACGTGATTGGCTGTCAAAACTTCCAAGCTGCAAATCATGACTCAGAGTTTAAGGGCCAATGGCAGAGGCCCAAATCCTGAAATGTTCTGCGATTGGATATCATGTATCGAATCGGAACACAGGGACTCAGAATCCTTAGTCCAGACTGAAGCTCAGGCAAACACAGACCATTGAATACATAACACCTACCAACATCACTGATGGAGGGTGTTGGTGGGGAGGGTTGAATGGGGCCTTTCTTAGACCCAGCTTGCTCATTTCCCTCCTCAGTCCCCCTCCATCTTTGAGAAGTTCCAGATAACATGGCGTTTGTGGAATTAGATGCACTGTGACAAGGATATTAAGGTGCACTTGATGGAAGCTAGAGGTACAAATAATATGGATTGGGGCAGCGGGGAGCTTTGAAATGCAACATTCCAAAATGTTTTGTGGAGGAGGCTAGACCTCACAGAGGTCCCTCGCTTCTTTGAGGTTTTTCCATTACCCACCAATGAGTGTTGGGTTCACATCACATGCTTTCCTTTGGCAAATGTTGGAGGATTTCCTCTGTCCCATTCATGTGCTGTGTTCAGAAACATCCCTCCTTTTTCCCCCTCCATCAAAAAATATTCCTTAGTAAAGTCATGCGCTGGGTCTCCCAGTGGCCATTTCCTTTGACAGTAGAATGACAGGCATTCTGGGAAAGGGTGTGAGCATTCAAGAAGGGACTACTCTGGTGACATTCAGAAAAGGGGACTTTGACTCCCCTTTACAGAAAGGGTTACTTTTTGTCCTGTTAACCTGCAACTGATGAGGAGTTTGATCCCCCTGAACAGGCTACGTTGATGTTGGGCTCATCCCAGCTGGTGCACGAGAGATCCAAATCGAGGAGGTGGCGGAAGCAGAGAATTTCCTGGCTTTGAGAAGCGAAGATCCAGAGAAATACTTCCTGAATGGCGGCTGGACCATCCAATGGAACGGCGATTACAAGGTGGCCGGGACCACCTTCACCTACGAGAGAACTGGGAACTGGGAGAACCTCACGTCTCCAGGCCCCACGGAGGAGCCAGTGTGGATTCAGGTACTTGCAGAGGGTTCAAGTGCTGGGCTTTGAACCTGGGAGTTCTGGCTTGAGTCTCTGCCACTGTCATGGACTCACTGCTGCAGAGTTGGGCAGACTTAATTAAGATACGTGAAGCAGAAATTCAACAGGTGCAGCTTCCTAAAGCCCTGCTTTTTGGCATCAGGGAAAGCAGCACTTGTTGAGACTTCACTCTCCGACTGCAGCTGTGAGGCTGCCGAGGTCGTAAACATATTTTCAGCCCTCGGTGATTCCATGTCCTGGAATCTGCTCATCCCTGGCTTGTGTTTAAACAGCCCCTCCCAGCTCAAGCTGGAGTGGAAGGTTATTTCACTGCCAACAAAGAGCTGATTGAAACTGACCCCCAAACTCTTGTAGGTAGCGGTATGGTATTTGTGCTCTCACAGAATTGCAGAGTTGAAAGGGACCCACACGGTCATCTAGTCTGACCCCCTGCAGTGCAGAAATCACAGTGACCAAGATGATCAAGGGTCTAGAAACCAAGCCTTATGAGAAACGGGGGAAGGAGTTGGGTATGTTTAGGCTGAAGGAGAGGTGACTTGAGAGGGGATGTGATAGCCATCTATGAATATCTGAAGGGCTGTCGCATGGAAGATTGAGCAAGCTTGTTTTCTGCTGCTCCACCGTGGAGGAACCAAACCAAGAGCTTCAAGTTACAAGGAAGGAGATTCCAACTCAATTTAGGCAGAACCTTCTGATGCTGAGAGCTGTTTGACGGTGTACCAGACTCCCTCAGAAGGTGTTGGCCTCTCCTTCATTGGAGGTTTTTAAAGAGAGGTTGGACAGCCACCTGTCAGGCATTCTTTAGCTGTGATTCCTCCATTGCCAGGGGTTGGACTAGATGACCCTTGGGGTCCCTTCTAACACTACAATTCTATGATTTGTCAGACTTTAAGGTGCCATGAGGCTCTTTGGCCTTGCTTCCATGCCATTTTAAGCTACAGTCATACCTCATGTTACGTCCGCTTCATGTTACGTTATTTCAGGTTGCGTCCCGCGGTGACCCGGAAGTACCAGAAAGGGTTACTTCCGGGTTTCGCCACTCGCACATGCGCAGAAGTGCATAATCATGTCACGTTCATGCGCAGAAGCGGCGAATCGCAACTCGCACATGCGCAGACATGCTGCTGCGGGTTGCGCTCTTTTCATGTTGCGAACGGGCCTCTGGAATGGATCCTGTTTGCAACCAGAGGTACCACTGTATAGTTCAACTGTGGTTTATCCATGAACATGCAGAGTGCACTAGCACTAAGTCAAGAACCAACTATGGCTTGGCTCACCACAGCGTGTTAGCGCCAGGAGGGAGGGAGAAGCCACATGCCCACAATTGCTGCCATGTGTGTCACCACGGTTCAAATTAAAACCATAGTTCAGTTTCCCTGTAGTTTAAAATGGTCTGCGAACGAGGACTTTGTCATTTCAGGAACTGGGTTTGTCTCTTTTCCGTTAACTGTTTTGAGCATGCACTACAGATTTCTGGGAAACGCAGCATGTAAATAAACTGGCTATTGCTTCATAGCCTCCATCTTCAAGGGCTTTGCCTGCCCCCACCAGCCATGCTTCTTGCCGCTTCTGTTCTGCAAATCTGCTCTGCGAAGTTCTGAGCAAAGCGCTCCTCTCGAGTTACTTTGGAAATGGCAGCATTTGGCATTCGGGAGGTTCCTGCTGATCTGGGAAGCATTTGCTGACTTCCGTGGGTGGACCTGGCCTCTCTCTTGCCCAGCTGAAATTGAAATCTGTTGCAGCATTCCTCAGAACCCTCCAGATGTCTTGAACTGTCACTCCCATCACCCTCATCTGGTTCATTGGCCTGGTTTGCCGAGGGGGCTGGAGGAGAGGCACTACCAAGGGGCCTCCGACCTTCCCAGAGGCTGCTATGAATGCGGAGACCACCATAGGACCCCTCCTGCCAGTGGTACAGGCTCCTGCCCTCCCTGTATGGACAGTTCATCACCATTTCTTTTCTGCGGGGAAGTCTGGTGGGTGTCTTCCTGGCTGCCAGGGAAGTCTTCGCTTTGGAGCAGCCAGACTTCCCAGGAGAGCTCTTTAGGAGTTAAATGGATTTCTCAGGGCTAATTCTTTTTCTCTCCCCTCTTGCAGGGAGGTGTTTACTTTAACATTCTCTTCCCCTTCCAGCTTGACAAGGAAAGGAATTCTTTTTCCTTTTTTGACCCCTGCTTGTCTTCCTCCAGCTGCTTGTGAATTCTGAAACAAAGGAGCTGGCTTTGAGACCCACCAGGCAGGCAGGCAGGCATCTCTCCTCTTCCCAAATCACACCACCTTGTTGGGGGATGTCAGAGGCATGCCAGGCTGGGGTGGGGGGCTTTCGGTACACGCCTGCTTCCCCTGTCTTTTTTTGACACTGCATTCATTTTGTGTTCCAAGAATAACTTTTGTTCTTTGCTTAAGAGCTATTGTGGTTAGCGTGTTGGAACCTGGGAGACCAGGGTTCGAATCTCCACTCAGCCATGAAGCTCCCTGGGTGACCATTGGGCCTTCTCTCAGATGAACCTACCTCACAGGGTTATTGTGAGGATAAAATGGGGAGGAGAATCATGCACACCACCTTCAGTTCCTTGGAGGAAAAGGTGGGAAATAAAGACAATCAATCAATCAAAGAAGATCCAGCCAGATTCCTGAGCAGAACAGCTCTCTCCTGTGGTTTCCAGTAACTGGCATTCAGAAGCATTGCTGCTTTCGACTGTGGAGACTATTATTATTATTATTATTATTATTATTATTATTACAGTGGTACCTCAGGTTAAGAACTTAATTAGTCCTGGAGGTCTGTTCTTAACCTGAAACTGTTCTTAACCTGAGGTACCACTTTAGCTAATGGGGCCTCCCGCTGCCGCTGTGCCGCCACCGCACGATTTCTGTTCTCATCCTGAGGTAAAGTTCTTAACCTGAGGTACTATTTCTGGGTTAACGGAGTCTGTAATCTGAAGCATCTGTAACCTGAGGTACCACTGTATTATTATTTATTATGCTACCCTTCATCTTAAGATTTCAGGGCAGTTCGCAGAAGAAAATACAAGATAAAAATAAAAGTAAATCATTAAAACAAAACAGCAAAATAATACCCCTCCCTTCCCACAGACACATTTAAAAGGCTGTAGAATATTAATAAGCCAAAGGACTGGTTGAAGAGGAATATTCTACCAGAAACCATGTTCCCATTCCCCCCCCCCCCATCACTCAGTTGGGAGCAGTGGCATAGCGTGGGCTGTCAGCACCCGGGGCAAGGCAAGTAAATTGCGCCCCCTAACCCATGGATTTTAGCACTCGAGTCTCTTCCACTAGATTAGTGTGCGTGCCCCCCAGATGTTGCACCCGGTGCGGCCGGGCCCCCCTGCACCCCTCACGCTACGCCACTGGTTGGGAGTATTTTTTAAACCTTGATGGAAAGAGCTCTGAAGCAAAGGAAGCTCAATTCTCTCTCTCTCTCTCTCTCTCTCTCTCTCTCTCTCACACACACACACACACACACTCACACACACACACACACACACACACTCCCCAGAACTTCTTGGCTGGTCCTCAGAAAACTCAGGGCATACCCCTTGTTCAGTATGGCCAAACCTGTCCATTTCATTTTCTCTGTTTCTAATTTCCCCAGCCTTCCTCCAATTTCTGCATACATTTGCAAATTTCACTTTTCAGACAAGAGAAAGCTTGCAGAGAGGCTTACAAATATCAAGAAGGCAAGCTGGCGCTTATCCACCCTTACCTTTGGCCCCTCTTTTTGAAGGCACATATCCGTGCTTTAAATCTCTCTGTCTGAACTGTCCCCCAAAACCTGCTCTTTAAAGCTGAATCGCAGCAAACATCAATTCAGGTTTACCATGGGTTGACACTTGCTCCAATTGTGTTTCCAAGAAGGAAAAGGGGGGGGCACTTGGACACGGAGTTTTCCACACCTTGAAAGTGTGGAGGAATGGTAAGTGTGGATAAGCCCACTCCTTGCACTCGGACTTATTGACATAAAAGGTACGACACAAAAGGAAAAAGACTGGGAGGGAGGAAGAAGAAAGCAAGTTCAGGCAGCGGTACCAAGTTACAAAGTTCCCATGCCAGCCAGCTGGAAGGGAAAGAGTTCAAAGAGGGAGGTTAGATGAATGTTAATGCCTTTGTTTATTCAGGGGAAAAACAACTTCGGAGGGAGTCTCAAGCTGCTTTCTCCGACTTTTTAAAGATTATTAGTTTCTATGTTCACGCTAATGCCTTGGAATGACTTATAGCACATTATCTCTTGGAACATTCCCTGGGATTTGTAACGGAATTGAAAAACCTTTTTAAAAAATGTTATTTTAAAAAAATATACCCTGAGAAGTCTCTTGGACCGATGCCCAAGTCCATTCCAAGAGCAGCAAAGTTTTGGCAACAACGGCAGCTTCGAGGGTGGGCTTATTCACAGTTACCTTTCCTCCAATCTTTCCAGGCCATAGTCCTTGCTTTAAAACTCCTTTTTTTCTTTGGCTCTGGAGCCGTCCCTGTGAAAACCTGCTCTTTAAAGCTCAATGGGACAATCCCCAGAAAACCCAAATTGACGCTTGCCCCAATTGAGAGCCGAAAGTGCAGGTTATCGCAGGAGAAGCTCAGGGGCAAAAAACCCCAACACCCACACTTGGGCATGAAGCTTTTAAGCACAGACCTGTGCCTGGAAAGAGTTGGAAGTGTGGATAAGCCCTTAATTAAGTTGGCAAGCCTTTGCCAGAGCTGTGTGCCTCCACAGACTGATACTTGAACCCTCCTGCAGGTAGTCTGCCTTGGGGCGTGCACTTACCACTACAACACACTGAAATCAGCTTGGAAATAAAATCTGAGAAGCTGCTTTGCATCTCAAGGCTCTTAACCCCCTGCAGCTAGTCTTGTAAGGATGCTGAGAAATGATTCGGGCCTCTTATCTCAGACTTGCTGTTCACAGGGGTGATGTGAGCCAAACAGCCTTGAAACTGGTTTAGGCTTGCTGTGTAGACGCACATTCAATGGCAGGTGTGCCTTTGCAGATAAGCCTGCAAATAAAGTTTGATGATAAGCTGAGACTGATATCTGGGGGTGGAGCTGAAATCACGCACACAAACACACACACACACCCCTACCTACCTATTTAAATGGCCAGGTTGAAGAAAGTGAGGAAAAGAAGGGAAACTGTGCCTTAAATATGTCACTCTAGTGCAACAAAGCCACCTTAAAAAAACCCAAACAACAGACTTTGCAATTAGGTAAGTGACAGGGGCATGTACTGAAACATGTGGCGTGAGTGAATGATTGAACATGAAACTTTGCAGACACCCTGCAAGCAGATCAGGATGAATCCTCATTGTTGTATAACTGCCCCATAAACAAATTGGAATGAATGCTCTGCAAAGAGTCTAACCCAGCGGTTCCCAATTTGTTTTGGGCCACCGCCCTCTTAGTTCCATAAACTCACCCCCAGTGCCTCTCCTCTGTAAAAAGCACTATTCGGAGTAGCAGTTTGCCCAGCACACTAAGCAAGATAGCACAATAGCAAGATAGCAAAATAAAAATCAAAACTATAACCATTGCACTCCCCCCCCCCACAAAAAGAATCCAAATAAAACTATTTGGTTTAATTCATTCAACAGAATTGACGAACTTGATCCAGGGATACCAGCTTTTCAAAGTCTGGCGGTCATTTACACCTCCAGCACCTGCCTGCCGCGCCCCCTTGCCTGCTGCTGCCCACTTTGGGTAAAGGTAAAGGGACCCCTGACCATTAGGTCCAGTTGTGACTGACTCTGGGGTTGCGGTGCTCATCTCATTTTATTGGCTGAGGGAGCCGGCATACAGCTTCCGGGTCATGTGGCCAGCATGACTAAGCTGCTTCTGGCGAACCAGAGCAGCGCACGGAAACGCCGTTTACCTTCCCGCCAGAGAATATACCTATTTATATACTTGCACTTTGACGTGCTTTCGAACTGCTAGGTTGGCAGGAGCAGGGACCGAGCAACGGGAACTCACCCCGCCGCAGGGATTCGAACCACCGACCTTCTGATCGGCAAGTCCTAAGCTCTGTGGTTTAACCCACAGCACCACCCGCGTCCCTCCCACTTTGGGTACCACTGGTCTAACCACTGCATGAGTTTTGTACAATCAGATCATGTGGAAAGCTGAAGAGGAGCCCACAGATCCATGCTGCTTTCCTTAGCTCTGAGGAGGGGCCCTTCCCCGATTGTAACATCCTTGTGATCCTCTGAAAACCAAACACTGGCCACTTCCTAAACTTTCAGTAAGTTTGCAGTTGCCGGTCCTCTGCTGCAGGCATCTCAAGGTCTTTTCCTGCTGGCCCTCTTTCTCTTGGCAGGACACTTTCATCACACTTCCTCAGTGCTTGGACCACATTTCGTTAAACGCTTTTTATACCGTCTGGCTGGATGCTGCCTAAGAACATTTTCTTCCTTGCCTCTCAGCTCTTATTCCAGGAGAAGAACCCAGGAGTCCGCTATCAATACACCATTCAAAGGGAATCTGAGAACGAGAACGAGATCACGCCGGCCGAATTCTTTTGGCAATATGGACCCTGGACAAAATGCACAGCCACCTGTGGCACAGGTAAGGATGCCTGCCTCTTTCTTTGCCTTTGTCTCACTGTTCGGTGTTTGGTGAGAAGTGGCGGGGGGTGGTCATGTTCTGGCCTAGGAGCCAGAGCAAGAAACTTCATGCCTTGGGGGAAATCCAGAAAAGCAGGTGAACCTTCCCCGAGCCCTGCAGTCACCACCAGAGTCTCTTCTCCTCAGAGGGCGATGCAGAGAGAGAGAGAGAGAGAGAGAGAGAGAAGGCCTTTTCAGTGGTGGCTCCCGTATAGTGGCATGCTGTCCCCAGGAAAAGATGCTAGGCATCATAATTGTCAGCCTTTTGCTACCAGGCTAAGACATTCCTGTTTTTCCAAGGCTTCTGGTTGTTAATTTTAGATCATAACTTTGTAAGATTCTCTTCTCTTTTGTGGAACTCTTGTTTCAGTGGTGTGCAGGATTTGTCTCTCTCAAAGTATTGCTGATTGAGCACTTGAGGAAATATTTGTCTGCTATATTTTGTAATACTACTACTACTACTACTAATAATAATAATAATAAATTTAACCGATTTTAGCTGTTTTGTATTTTATGATGCTTTAAGTGATTTCAAGGCAGTTTTTTGAATAGAGCACTGAACAAATGAAATGACTGAATGAATGGTGGCAGAAGGACTCAGGACACTGCTCTGTAGCCTTCTTTTAATAGTGGTGAATTAGGAGCCCAGGATCAGGCCTTTCATGTGGGGCAGGAAAGGCCAATGGGCGTATCCTCTCCCCAACCCCCAATAGTCCACCTTGTAGTAAGAAGGATATGGTAATAATAATTAGCTAATGAAGTAGCCAGAAAATTTTGCTATCCCTTAATGGTGTCCATGAGACGCGGGTGGTGCTGTGGTCTAAACCACAGAGCCGATCAGAAGGTCAGTGGTTCGAATCCCCACGCTGGGGTGAGCTCCTGTTGCTTGGTCCCTGCTCCTGCCAACCTAGCAGTTCGAAACCACATCAAAGTGCAAGTAGATAAATAGGTACCACTCTGGCGGAAGGTAAACAGTGTTTCTGTGTGCTGCTCTGGTTCGCCAGAAGCGGCTTAGTCATGCTGGCCACATGACCCGGAAGCTGTACGCCGGCTCCCTCGGCCAATAAAGCAAGATGAGCGCCGCAACCCCAGAGTCGGCCACAACTGGACCTAACGGTCAGGGGTCCCTTTACCTTTAATGGTGTTCATAATCCCCTGCTTAGAGGCATGCAGTGCTGGCTTGAGGATGCAGTTTGTCTAGACTGCTGGGGTAGGAAGTACCAAATGCATTTCATGTTTGGCCACTTCAATTAGAGCCCTGAATTGGAGGATGCAGCGTCCTGCCTTGAGGTGCTGGCTAGCTGAGTGCAAGATGGAAGGGCAGGCAGGCAAGAGAATTTATTCCGCCGGCAAGGAAAGGCGTTTGCAAAGGCCGCTGCCACCCACTCTAGCCTGTGGATAAGGAAAACACTGTTGTGGAGTGCATAAATTCTCAATGCAAATGTATCAAAGCGATCAGACCGGCAACACTGCTGGATGTGTTTAGACCCTGCCTGTGCCCCTTTGTCCAGGATGCTTGACTCTCTGCAAATGAGTGTGCCAATACATGCACAGTGGTGCATAAGGACATGGGTTTCTGTTTGCGCAGCTGCATGTGCTCCTTTCTCTTGCCGCCAGCTGGTCAAGGCCTCTTTGGAAACAGACAACTTGAAAAACAGAAAAGCAGAAGGCTTTGCCTTGGCCTTTGATGTCCGCCTCTTGTTGACTGGGGTAACTGGGAAAGAGTCCTCCTCTACAGCTGAGTTTTATTAAAGCATGAGATGAGGGGACCAAGTGCACAGGCCAGTTAAGGATGCTTCTTCACTCTCTCCTTAGGATGCTTCCAAATGACCACCATTTTGGGGCAGGGTTCAGGTTGTGCAATTACAGTTGGTTTGGGAGGTCTTGTGCAACACACCCAATTCCCCCAGAAATCAGACCTTTTGCAATAAAGAAAAGGAAGGGGTTTTTAATTTATTTATTTCATAATATTTATACACTGCTTGATTGTAAAGCTACAACAAACCTCAAAGTGGTTTTTCTATCACTAAGAAAAATTTACGACAACAATTTAAAGCTTTTAAAAAGTTAAGGTAACAATAGATTTTTAAAAGATTAAAGTTTGCATTGGTTTTCTCAATATGTGGACAGGATTGTTATAGGAGGGCACGGCATTCAAAATCACCCATTTCATAACTATTCCAGTTTGCTTAATCCAGACATGAAGGGTTTGAGGTCAGAATAAGGTTCTTCTGAAGCAAATGCATATGTCCCTATTTTCCAGTGTTGTTCGGAAGGCAGCATTTTCCAGGTAAATTTTCACAATAGCACTTGGCTCTCCCTTAAGGTAAAGGTAAAGGGTCCAGTCGTGACCGACTCTGGGGTTGCGCGCTCATCTTGCTTTATTGGCCGAGGGAGCCAGCGTTTGTCTGCAGACAGCTTCCCAGTCATGACTAAGCCACTTCTGGCAAACCAGAGAAGCACATGGAAATGCTGTTTACCTTCCCGCCGGAGCGATACCTATTTATCTACTTGCACTTTGACGTGCTTTCAAGCTGCTAGGTTGGCAGGAGCAGGGACTGAGCAACGGGAGTTCACCCCGTCACGGGGATTTGAACCGCCAACCTTCTGATCAGCAAGTCCTAGGCTCTGTGGTTTAACCCACAGTGCCACCCGTGTCCCTGGCTCTCCCTTACATAAGAACAAAAGAACAGCCTGGATCAGCATCCCATCTAGTCCAGCATCCTGATCTCACAGTGGCCAACCAGATGCCTGTGGGAAACCCACAAGCAGGATTCGAGCACAAGAGCCCTCTCCCCTCTTGTGGCTTCCAGCAATTGGTATTCAGAAGCACTGCTGCCCCCAGCTGTGGAGGCAGAGCAAAGCCATGATGGCTAGTAGCCATTGATAGCCCTCCTCCATAAATTACAAACCTGCCACACATGGTGTGCCTGCTTCTACAAGTCCTAGAAGTGGCAAAACATCAGCTCCATGGTTTGAAGGGGCGCACTGCAGTGAAGGCAGGGCCGGATCCTTCCAACTCAGTGCTCATTACTGCATGTTTACCTCCTACGGGCAAAACATTTCTTGGGGAGGTCATTCTCCCCATCCCTCACCCTGCTACCCCACCTCCAGTCTGTTGCTGAGAAATTCTGTGTGATGGATCACAGCTGCCTGGAAGGCCTTGTGCAGATGGGTTTCACAGCTCCACAAAAGCCCAGAAACCTGAGCTTCAGAGGCAGCAAATTGGATGTCTTCAGAGGGGGCAGATTATGTCACCTGGGAGGACACTGATTCTCTTCTTTCAGTTCTCCCAGCTCATTGGGGCCTGACGCACAGCTACACTTGCCAAAGATTTTTTCTTTTCTTTTCTTTTCTTTTCTTTTCTTTTCTTTTCTTTTCTTTTCTTTTCTTTTCTTTTCATTCTTTCTTTCTTTCTTTCTTTCTTGGCATCTCTGTCCCTTTTACTGAAACCAGATCATCTTCCAGGACTCCTCTGCAGTATCGCCGCTCCAGATTTTCTGACAGATGCTGTCACACTGCCTTGACAAGGCCCAGAGCAGCACTTGGGGCGGTGGTCTGGGTGTGTGTGTTCCTTGTGATGTATTTGTATTTGGTTGCATAAACACCATACATTGAAAGCACATGGTTTGCCCCAAAGAATCCTGGGGACGGCAGTTTACCCCTCACAGAGCTACAAACAGGGGAAGGGACACCGCTCAGTAGCAGAGCAGCTGCCTTGCATGCAGAAGGACCCAGGCTCAATCTCCGACATCTCCAGATAGGGCTGGGAGAGATTAGTGCCTGAAACTCTGGAAAACAGCTGCTAGTTGGTGCAGAAGTGAGCTAGATGGTAGGAGCTGTTTGACAGTGGAACGGACTCCCTCAGAAAGTGGTGGACTCTCATCCAGATGGCTAGATTCCTGAATTGCATGGGGTTGGACTAGACCAGAGGTTGTCAACCTGGTCCCTACCACCCACTAGTAGGTGTTTCAGGATTCTGGGTGGGCAGTAGGGGGTTCTGCAGCACAAGCTGAATCCTTCTTCCATCGAGCGCTGGTGGGCAGTAAGGAAATTTTACCATCAAGAAAGATGCATTAGTGGGCGGTAGGTATAAAAAGGTTGACTACCCCTGGACTAGATGATGCTTGGAAGTCCCTTCCAACTCTACAATTCTGTTATCACTATAAGGCAGCTTCCTGAGCTCCTGCGCTCCTAGGGCTACAGTTCCCAGCACCCTCAACAAACATATGGCTGTATTTGGGATTGTGAAAGTGGATTTTCCTCTAGGCTTGATTGGCAGGGTGAATTTCCCTGAATCTGATTGGCTGTTGATTGGTCTGCTGCCAGCAGACTTCAATCAGGGGTCCCAGCCGGGGTCTCCCCCACACACCCAAAGCCTCTGGTGTGCTTGCTGTGTTGCAAACATTGACGCCAGCCGCTCATATCGCTTGTGGCCTGTTGGCCTTATGAATTGTTATCTCCAGGCTATGAAAGGGAACCTTTAAGCAGGTTCTGGGTCTGGGAAAGGAGAAGGGGCAGATAGGCAATCAGGGAGCAGAAGAAGGGTGACATAATCATGGACTGAGGGAGGCAGGGAGCTCTCGGATGATTTCTTCATTTGCTGGGTTGGGAGAGGAAGTCTGCCATCCAAGCGCCTTCTGGGTTTCCTGCCAGAAACTGAGGCTGCCAGAAGCACATCAGATCCTGGCTTGTGACCGGCCCCCGTGGGGACTGTCCAGCCTGCACGCCAGGAGCAGCTCCAGCATCCAGCCCCCCTGAGCTACGCCAACCCCTGGCCCATGTGCCTCCTCCTTGCTCCCAGGGAAGTGTCTGTGTGCTTCAGCCAGCTGGGAAAGGATGAGGGAGAGAGAGACAGAGAGAGAAAGAGAGAGAGAGAGGTGGAACGGGGAGAGAGAGACCTTTGCAAGGTCAGACTCTGGAGCAAAGGGTAAGCTGGTGATAAGGAGGAGAAAGGACAAG